CGTCAAAGCAGGCTGGCAGCCCCGCGGAGCGGGTGCGTGATTGGGGTGGGAGGGTTATCGGCCGTGGGAGCTGCCCGGTGCAGGACGGCGCCCGCAGGGAGAGCTCCTGCCGCGTCCCGGAGCCCGGCCTGCAGCTCCCCTTACAGTCTCCAATTACCAGGTCACCGGAGCTAACGGAGGCTGCCAAGTTTCTAATGATGATCTTCTTGTCATGTGCGCTTCCCTGCCTTCTTATTTCCCTCCGCACCTCCTCTCCATCCATGAGATTTTAATTGAGCCCATCTGCAGTTTTTGCACCGCCGGAGCTGTGCAGGGGTGCACGGGCTCCCCCGGGACCGCGGCTCCCTGCCGCTAATTGCAGGGCTGTTAATCGGCTCCCAGGGGCCTCGTCAGCAGGCAGCCGCTCGCGCAGGTGTCCGAGGTGCAGCCAGGGCTGCTCCCACTGCAGAGACGCTCTGGCCTCGGAGCTGGGTCCCATCTGCTCACAAAGGGACATGCGGATGGAGCGCGCGGTGCTGGCCGTGCCCGACTGCGGCAGCTCCATGGAACCCCAGCAGCATTCCCGGAGTGCCGGGCCGCCCCGCTGGGACGCGAGCGTGTGCCGAGGCCGTGCCGAGTGGCTGCGGCTGCGCGGGACACAGCGTGGGCTTGGGGGCGATGTTAACACGGAAAGAAACAAGCTCCAGCTTGGAGCAATTACCTGCTCGTGTTGCTGCAGCATGTCACCTGGCTGCAATTAGAGACGGGAAAATAGCCCCTTTCCTGCCTGCATTGAGGGCTGCTGCTGGGGCGCTTGCGTGGGCAGCGGTGCTGGTTCCCATTGCCTCTGCGTGGCTCCAAGCGTGGCTGGCGCCGAGCGGAGCGAGGAGGACACAAGGAGCCGGTACCGCGGTACCGCTGCCTGCTCCGCGGCCCGAGGGGATGGCCGAGGATGCAGCAGAAACTGGATGTGCCGCTGCCACAGCCAGGGGACCGCGAGGAGGAGGAGGAGGAGGACGGGCGGCTTCACGCTGTTCCCTGCGAGCTGTAGGCGGCCGAGCGCGCTCGCAGCACCCATGTCCCTGCGCCGTCCCCCGCTCCCGGTGTCCCCGCGGATGCGCGGCCGCCGTCCAGCGCGTGTCGGGGAAAGCCGGATCCTGCCTTTTCCTCGGGAGCACCCGGCGCGCAGCCCTCCTGGCGCGCAGGGACAGCCGTCTGTGCATGGTGCCGCAGGCAGGGCCCGCGACGGCGCGGGGCTTCGCAGCCTTCCCCCCAGCACCGTCCGCTGCGGAAACGGGCAGAGGGGCCTCGGGAGAGGAGGGGGCCGGCCGCCCTTCCCCACGGCCTTTTCTTTCCTCCTGGCTGTTTCCCATAGGAAAGGCTGAGGGAAACGGCCGCCCTCGCTGCTCTGTGCTCCTGTGCAAGGAGCCCGCGAGCACCGGCCTCGACCAGCCCTGCACCTGCAAAGCCCACATCCGTGCGCGTTATTCCCGGGGGATTCCTATAGCAAAGGACCCCAGGCTCGCGGCTGGGCACGTTCCCTCCTCCTGGCTCCGGAGCTGACAGCTGAAAACCCCCTGGAGCCTGATGTGAAGTTAAAGATATTTGTTGCGTTGCAAGAACTCCAGAATGCTTTTAGCCAAAGCTGGGGATTAAATCCAAATAGCACAAATTTTAGCTCAGCTTTTCTTCGTGTACTGTAAATGATTAAAAGCTGCAAAGTGCTGTCAGAAATCTAGGACTTCCCCTCCTGGAAACCTTCTTTCCCCTCGTTTTATGATTGCTGCGCTTCACTGGCTTTGATGTAGCAAATCTTATTTTTTTAAATGTGGGAAGGAGGCTCGTGGGCTCCTGTTGGCTGTGGTGTGTGTGGGGTGAAGCTGGGCTAATGCTTCTGACCCCAGAGGTTTGTCCAAAGTAGGTGGATAAATGTAAAGCTTCTTTTAAAATCATCTTTTTATTTTTTGTTGCCTTTTCCTGTGGATTTGATAACCAGTGCTCCAGTCTATTTGCTGAATATCATGTTATTTGCACAGTAGAAACATCATCGAAACGAAAAAATTCCCCAGAACTGGAGCTCTGCACTGCTACGTGCCTGAAGAAATCTGAGAGATTTGTGATATTAGAGCCATCTGCCGAATTGTGGAGCTGTCAGCTCCCTGGGGAGACTTTAACTCTTGCCCGGGTTCGATCTGTAGAGGGACCCTGGTGGCTCCCTCCTGCATCCCGCCAGCTCTCCGTGGGTGATAAGGGACAATCCCTGCTTATCTGCTGCGCGGCGTCACCCCGGCTGCCCGCTGCCCGGGGGGCGACGAGGGGCCTCGCTCGGCCGGGCCGGCGTTCCCTGGGCGAGGGCAGGCGGGAGGATCGGAGCAGCCTGCCCTGCGCTGCCCACCCGGAGGGCTCGGGCGGGCTGCGCCCCTCTGCGAGCGGCGGAGCACGGGGGCAGTTGGGGACGCGGCTTTGCAGCTCCTGGGGGTCTGAGCTGCGCTCTAGGCCAGGCGGCCCCTGCGGATCAGTTCCTAGGCACGCCGTGCTGTATTCCTTGCTTTCCTAGGCTCGTCCTAGGGTTTGCACGTCCCCGGCGCTGCTGTGCCGCTCAGCCCGGAGCGGCGCACGCTCTTCCCGGCGCTCGGCCTCGCCGGGGAGGCTCGGTGCCACCCGTGCAGCGCAGGGCTGCAAACGCGCTGCAGCGGTGCCGGGCGCCGCGGGAGGCCGTGGCCTCTGCCCCTCTGCAGGGGCTGCAGCTCTGCTCCCGGGGCAGCCGCGGCTCCCCGTGTCCGCGGTAGCGGCAGCACCACAGGGCAGCGCTGAGCAGTCCCACCTTAGGCAATAACAAGGAATAAAACCTAATGCTTCACTTTTGTTGTATATAAATGACTCGGGACGTTTGTAGTTCATCAGGGGCATTTGATAACTTTATTATGCATATAATAAGATTTACAAACGAGCTGACTAATTAGCAGCTGGGGAAAGCTGCTGCCGCTCCCGAGCTGCCAGAGATGGAGCCTTAAAGCCCTGGTCATGGCCGCGGTGCCGCTGGCTCCCGCAGCGCCGCCCCGCGCGAGGGCCGAGCTCAGCTCGCCACGCCAGGCACGGCACGAAGGGTCTGTTAAATCTCCTTGCCTCTGCTGGGGAGGATGCACGCCGAAGAATTAAGGCAGGATTACTTGCATAAGCTCCTGTACCTGAATAATTCCATTGGCTGCGATTTTGGGCTGCTCTTGTTTTTGCATGGATCACGCATGTAAATGCTCGCAGCGGCTCTTTCCAAGGCATGCAGTGTTTTATTCTGAGTTTTGGGTGTAAAGCCCACACCGCTGCAATCAGCAGAGGGCAACTTGTTTACTTTGCGTAAACAGGCAAGGGTTATGCTTCATCATCTCCAAATGGATTTTCATTAGCATCTGTATTAATATTGATTGCTGAGGAAGCCACTGCTCCTGCTCAACATTCAGTTGGAGATCCCTTAATTGACCTGTAGTATGTAACGTTGTGAAGACACTGCAATTATTTTTCCAGTTGAAGAGAAAATGCTGCATTCCTGGTGTATTCCTTGGGCCCCTGCTCAGCGGGCAGGCGGTGTTAACGGGGTGTGTATATTTAATGCCTTCTTTAATAATTAAACTCTCCAGTGAAACCTTAAAGGAGTACGAGGAGAGGCTGTAACCAGAGCCCGGGCTGTTTGGAGCCTGCAGACCTTGCCTTCCAAGCCTCCCTTGCCCTTAGAAACAAGCATTTCAGCTCTGCTGCTCGTGCAAGTTAAAGATGATAAGTTTTCTGGGTTTGTGGCCTTGCTGGGAAAGGCGGGAGCGCAGAGCCGGGGCTGGCGCCGGCGGGGGCTCCGGGGGGTCTTGGGGAGGGTCCCTGTCCCTGGCCCCGACCCTGCTCGGTTCCTCCCCGCTCCTCCAGCAAAGACGTTGCTGCTCCTGCCCCTGCCCGCTGCAGAACCCGCTGTGCCCAGCCCGGCGGTCACCTTAGCCTGGAGCCAGCTGAAATGATGTCAGCCCCGATGGAAACTTCTCTTGCTGCAGATTGAATTTGTGCGGGTGCTTCGGAGCGAATCTTTGCTAATAGAGTTCTGGTTCCTTCCTTCCTGCTTCCCAGACGCCCGTCTCCGTGTACAAATGATAGGAGCGGAGAACAGTGTTTGCAAGGAAAGGTCTTTTCGCTAGGCACAGAAAGGCCAGCGAGAGGGGAGGCTGCTGGCAGCTCTCGAGCAGTCTGTGCACTTCTTTTTTCCTTGGTGATCATGAAAAGTGTGCAAAGGAGCACGAATTGGAAGCTGGATGCAGCAGGATGCAATAGGGGGATTGTGAGTTTAGTGGTGAATGTCCCTTAGGTGTCCTGTGTCACTGCAGCTGACACTCGTGTCCCCTTTCCTCGCTGCTCTGCTCGCTTTGTCTCCTCAGTCCCTTTGCAGTGCGATGATTTGTGAAGCCCGTGTGCCCCTTCTGGCACAGAGCTTGCACAGGGCACAGCCGGAGGGCTCGCGGCTCCGGGGTTCCCTCCAGACACCCTCTTGGCAGCTCCGGCCGTGGCGCCCCAGGACTGGCTTTCCCGCGCTCTCGCAGGGTGGCTGCGCGGTGGGCGCGGGCGGCGCGGAGCGGCGTTGGGACGGGCGGCGCGCACGGGCTGGGGCAGCGCCCGCGCCCCGCGCCCCGGGGTGTCCGCTCAGGCAGCCGCGGGCTGGGAAACGGCCGCTTCTGGTGCCGGGGAGCAGGGGCTGTGCCACCCTGCGCCGCCCGCCGCTCCTCTGAGCCGCTCCTGACGCTTGTACCCTGGTCCAGCGTTGAAATTCTGCACAGCTTTATTTACAGAAGCCTCCTTAGCGTCCGAGGTGCCTCTTGTGGTAAACTGGGGCCGATAGCGTTTTTCTTGGTTGTGATTTAAAGCAGCAGTTTGAAGCAGGGCTCTGATGAGATGCTGATGGGTGTTGCTGCACAGGCAGGGGCTCCCGGGCGGCGTGGCGGGCGCGTGCGGGCGCGCGGCCCTCACCCCCTGCTCTGCTCTCTCCGCAGTGTGCTGCTTCGTGGTGCACAAGCGCTGCCATGAGTTCGTCACCTTCTCCTGCCCCGGGGCCGACAAGGGCCCCGCGTCCGACGTAAGTAACCGCCCGCCCGCTCCCTGCCGTCCTCCCTCGGCTTCCCGGCCACCCACGCCGCCCTCGTGCCCAATGTCGCTGCCAACCAACAGACTCCAAAGCGTGGAGTGCTGCTTTAATAACAATGACAGCTATTTTAATCTCCCCGGGGAAGATTTTGGGCAGCTCGCCACAGGCTTGCCCCTCTCTCCTGGCAAGGCTTGGCTCCAGGTCCTCATTGATTCCTCTGGCCACGAGCAAAAACCTGAAGGAATCAACAAGGACCGACTGAGATGCTGAAAAAGAAAAAGAAGGGGGGTGGGGAAGAGGGACCAAAATACTCCCTGCAAAGGGGAAAAGCACCCGCTGCCTCCCAATGGGCATCCCCGCTTGGCAGGACGGCACCGCATCCCGGCCGGGGCCGCGGGGCCGGGGATGGCGCGTGTCCCCTGCCAACTGCCGGGCCTGGGAACGGCACTGGGGGCACTGCCCGAGACAGCGTGTGCGAAGAAGCTGCTCCTCTCGCTCCCGTGCCCCTCGGGCCCCGCCAGCCCTAAGGACGAGCTCTGCTCGGGAACGGGAAGCGGCTCCCGCGGGAAGCGCTGCCGTGTCCCGACAGCACCGGCTTTGCAGGGAGCTGCTGCAACGCCCGAGCTTTCCCGTGCTCTGTTGTCGTTAATAACCCCGGCATGGATCCAGAGCAACCTCTAATTATGTCAAATGCTGATAGGATCTCGGTTGTAGCAATTTTAGCTGTGCTTCGCTCTTTTGGGTTTTTTTTTTTCATGTAAGTGCAGCAATCTGGTAAGTGTCTCTCCCTTCAGAAGTATTAAAATCCAATTAAACCTTGCAGAAAGAATGGGTTTAATTTATAGCATTTGTTTAAGCCTTGCAACGTGCTTCATTACGAAGGGCCACGTGACGTTGGCTGGGGACGGTGGCCGCGTCCTCGGTGGCTGCGGGCGAGCGCGCTGCGACCCCGGCCCGTGCCAGGCTGCTCCGGAATTCCCGCTCGCAGAGCCCGCCAAGAGAAAACAATATAGAAACAAAAAGGAGAAAAATCTAACTTTGGCTTTTAATCTCTATGTCTCTTAGGGTTTCACAGTTACTGGAGAGTCAGGGAGGAAGCTTTTTGTTTGCATCCTGTGAAGTGCTTATGGGCGGCAGGTGCTTGATGTTGAACACCTGAGTGGTTCTGCTGACCTAAATGGAGCTGTGGTGGGGGCTTTGCCCGCTCAGTGTGCTGGGGTGCCTCGTGAAGGGCGGCTCGTGTGCACTAACCTGGGGCGAAGCTGCTGTTTGCAGCCCGCAGAGCACAGCACCGCGCCCGGGAGATGCCCGAGTCCTTCTGTGGCTCCCGCTGGGAGCAGCGGTCTGTGCCACCGCTGTGTCGGAGCCCCTCGGCACGACGTGCCCGCGTGTTTAACCAGCGCCTCGCGAGCGTGGTGCTGCTGCCCGGGAAAGGAGGGCTAATTGCTCAGCCCTGATACGGTCCTCAAGGTAGAATTAATTGCCTCGTGCAATGGAGAATGGGGCTCTAAATATAAACGCTGGTACTGCAGATGCTGGGGCTGTTGCTGTTGTGGTTATTTTTATGTCATTGTTGGATTTTATTTATTTAATTATTGGGTGGAGGCGATATAGCTGGTCTGTGTTTGGGTCAGGCTTGCTGAGGTCCGTGCACAGTGCAGGGCTGACTTGCTGCAAGCCAGGAATTGGTGCAGGAATCTGCAGGCAGCGGCTCTGGGCGGCGATCAGGATTGGTTCCATAGCTGCTGAGCGGGACAGGCAGCCCCATCTGGGCAGGTGTTCTGGGCCAAAGAACAGAGATCCAGCCCAAAGTGAGCGTCTTCCCATGTCCCACCCTTCCCGTGCTGGCTCCGAGCTCCAGCTCTCCGGAGCGCTCCGCAAGAGGCAGAGTTAACGGGACCTTCCAAGCTGCAGTTTCCTGAAGTGCGGCGGGGTCTTTGGGAACTGAAACCGGGCATGGGTAATGTGATGCACTTGGCAAACCTGATTATAGTTGGAGCTATTAGTAGCATGCACAATTATTTAAATTATAGACAAAATCATGAAAATGACCTTCTCTGCGTTATCCTGCTAAAGGTCAGCTAATCAGGATGCATCAATAAATATCCGAGCAGCTCTAGGAGGGTAGCAGGCTGCTGTAGCTTCACTTTCATTTTGCATTTTCCCCGCGTTGGCAGCCTTAGCAGGGGCTGGCTGCGAGGCTCTGGTGCTGTCATGTGTTACCTCGGGTGTTTCCCTGCTCTCTGCTTGCCGGAGGCAGGATCATTTTCCTTGTCTCAAATGCCTCCTTTCCTGAAAAGCTCCAGAATTGGGTGTTTGCACTGCAGGAAGCATCGGTGTCATTCTCTTTTAGAACAAGAGAGCAATTTCAGAGAGAGCGTGTTAGAGCTGTGGATCACCCAAGTATCTTGAGAGTCAAGAGCAGGTCAGCGCGACGCTCTTCTCCTGCATCCCCGTCCCTTCCTGCTGGGTGCTGGTCCCCAGGGGTGCTCGGAGCAGCAGGCACCGAGGTGCCTGTCACCCCGCTTTGCTAGCAGGCCCTTGCCTTGCCTTAGCCTTGCTTCTGTGTCCAGCACAGAATTACTGGGGGGAAGGAGCTGGGTTTGCAGGTGACGCACCAAAACCAAGGGTGAGTTCTGCCGGGGAACGTTGGTGCTGGAGAGGTGACCAAAGGTCTTTGCGTTGAGCGGTTCCCTGCACTCCAGTGCTGTGGTGCTGCAGGGATTTTCCCCGGGGAAACGTGAGAGCGAAAGCAGGCGGCTCGGTTTAATGCAGGTCCCTTGGATGCATTGCATTAGGCACAAGGTAATGACAGCTGACGGGCTGCATTTGCTGCCTATTGTGTTGCTGAAAGCGCTATGAAATTTGCTTTAAAACGGTCTTTTCACATGAACTGTATTAATTCTTCCTCAAAAGAGATCAGTTAAGGCTTTCTCTGCAGTGGGAAGCGCGGGTGCGTAGTTCTGCTCCCCGCGGAGCGAGCAGCCATACGGGAGATGGGTGCCACAGGGCGCTCAGGGCTCTCCGTTAAGGACCTGTCCCTGGGAGCGACAGGGAAGGTCAGGACGCAGCCGGTGACGCCGGTGGGACGTGGCGGCTGCTCCGTCCCTCTTCCCTGGAGGGAGACGGGAGATTATTCCAGGCAATTTGGAGGTTCGCGGTGCAGCGAGCCTGGGAAGGTGTCCCTGGATGTGGACAGCTGTGACCCGCTGCTGTCCCTCACCTGGCACCAAGAGCAGTGGGGCCGGGGGTGCCCTACTGGGATACCCGTGTTTCTCATTTCAATCGATTTGGCTCCGGTTTCCACGGGTTGCAAGCCGAGCTGTGTGCAGTGCTGTCCTGGTGCCCGCGCTGCTGCTCGCAGCTCCGGAGAGCAGGAATTTCCCCAGGAGCAGCCTGTTTCCCTGGGAGCTGGCTGCAAGCGCCTGGCCTCTGAGCGCTGAGGTGTCCTAGGGGCACGGAAATCACGGTGCTTTTCCTGCCCAAACCCGCTTGGTTGACGTGGAGCTTGAGTCGTGTCCAGCCCTGCGGTGGCTTTCTCCAAACCAATTTCACCTGGTGTTTTCTGTGCTAAGATGGAGCTGCACACAATAAATCCCCGGGTGAAGCTGTGCGTTGCCCTCACTGTTATAGCAACCAGGACAAGGAGGCTGGACCTCGGTGGCTCTTGGACGGGGTCCACAGCCGTCGGCGGCCGCTGCCTCAAGCCCATTAGCTGCCACTCCACGGCCAGCTGGCACGGGCAATGCCAGCGCTCCTGGTCCCCTGCCAGTGCTTGATGCAGGTTTATAACCTTTATGTTTTATTTTCCTCCTAGGACCCTCGGAGCAAGCACAAGTTTAAAATCCACACGTATTCCAGCCCCACCTTCTGTGACCACTGCGGGTCGTTGCTGTACGGGCTCATCCACCAGGGCATGAAGTGTGACAGTAAGTGTGTGACCGGCCGAGGACGGGACGAGCGGCTGGGGCCCCGCGGGAGGAGAACTACGCAGGAGGGATGGAGGAGGAGGAGGAGGAGATGATAGAGACAGGTTATTTCCCAAATTAACCCGGTGCATTCCTATTTAAACCGCCTGTGAATACACACCGTCTGCTTACGCGTCTGCTTACGGGGAGCCGCGTGCGCCAGGGCTCGCCATGTGCTGCCTTTCTCTTAAATATAGAAGCTGGTGGCTGTTCGGGGAGCAGCATATTCGTTATCGCCCTCAAAGCGTGACCAAGAAGAAACGATTTTGTGTAAAAATATATGTAAAGGTAAAAACACAGGGGTTTAGTGCCCCTTCTTAGGCTGTCGTCCCAGCACTGCACCCCAGGCATTATAGAGGAGAAGTCTGTTTCATCATTAAAACTGGGGTAATTAGAGCTAAGGTAACTGAAAGTCTCTCCAGGCGAGATCCTGCAGTTGAAGGCGCTGGTGCGGGCTCCCCGCCTGCCCAAGGACCCCCAAATGTGCCCCATAGAAGGAGGCCAAACTCCTCCTCCTCATCCACCCCAGACATCCCGAGGGCTATGGGAGGTGCGGGCGGTTCCATCCCTTCCTGCGCCCGAGTGTGTGCTTTCCTGCCCGCAGCCTGCATGATGAACGTGCACAAGCGCTGCGTGATGAACGTGCCCAGCCTGTGCGGGACCGACCACACCGAGCGGCGCGGGCGGATATTCATCCGGGCTGACATCGAGAAGGACGTGCTGACCGTTGTAGGTGGGTAACGCGGGCACAGCGCGCTCCTCCAGCCCCTCTGTGCCCATGGGGACTGTGGAGCAGCTCCAAGCGGCAAGACCGGCCCTGAGCTGTGTCCAGAGCAGTGCCCGTCCCCAGCAATCCGGAGCCCAGGGGTTTGCAGAGCCACCGTGATGCCCACATTAAATCCCCATTGCTAGACTGTTCCAGTCACCAGTTTTTCTCATTGCTTCTTGAATCATGTCGTGTTCCAGCAGCTGCACCCCAGCATGGGAGGGCAGGTGCTTTTCAGCCCAGCTCCGAGTGTGCAAAGGGTTTGTTCAGTGTGTGGCACGCGGGAGCGAGCGCCCGTTTCCCGCTGCCCTTCCCGTGCCCGGGGTGGCAGCTGTCCCCACGCTGCCCCTCGAGGGGCCCTTCATCACCCTTGGCAGACAGGGTGCCCGCGGCTCCGAGCGATGCCGGCACACGGATGCGAGCGGATCCGCGGGCTGCCAGTGCCCTCTCGTGGCGCCGGCTCTCTGTGAGCAAAGGAAGGTTTGGAATCCGGGCGCCTTGATCAGCAGAGACTCCAAGGAGCCCTAAACATCCCAGCATCCCAAATGCGATCCCTGGGAAAAAGCCCTTGTCCCAGGTCCCCGTGTCCTGTTCTCCAGCCTTGTCCCCTCGCCCTTGTGACATGGACAGGGTGGTGCCATCGCAAAAGGCTTTTGCGTTTGAGAGCCTTTGCCACCGGAATTTGGGGTGCTGGGATGTGTTGCAGGGCTTGATGCCCGCATCACTCCCCAGAAATGCTCCAGAGCGCTGTGTGTGGGACACGTGAGGTATGGATAGGGATGAGGATGGAGGATGGCTGCAGGAATGAGGGGAGGCCGGGATAGCGGGGTTGTAGAGCAGCACACAGACCCCTCCTGCTCACCCAAGGGACGTCCTGGTCAGCAAGGGCACCACGAGGTGCAGCGGCTCTGCCGAAACGTGCCACAGACCAGGACTGGGATTTCCTAGGGAAACGTTTTCCATGGCCTGAGCGCACTGGCTGGTGCGGCCCAGCCACTCTACGTGGATGCAGCACTGATGGCAACATCCTTGGGAAGAGCACCGAGTTACTGAAAACATCAGGTTTTGTTTGAAGAGGCGTGCGGGCGCTGTTTTTTTCGGAATGGAGAATTTCGGGGCAGCCCCGTGTTTTCGTGCTGCGATGCTGCCCTCCAGGGGCCAGCAGGGCCGGCAGCGACGCGCTCCGCAGGGCCCGCCTGGCAGCTGGATTTGCCCCCTTCCTTGGGGAGGCTGCTTTATCCGCGGAGGGGGCGGTGGGATGTGTCACCCATCGGTGGTGGAGGGGGCGGTGGGACGCGTCACCCATCGGTGGTTATGGAAGGGTCGGTGGGACGCGTCACCCGCTGGCCCCCGCGGCGGACGGGAGCAGCCGCCCGGTGCACGGGCGGAGGGCACCGGAGCGGCCGCGCGTGGCCCCTCCTGGCGCGACTGTCGCCTCCTGGGCAGGCGGCCGCGGTGCGGCCGGGCTCGCCGCAGCGCAGGGCGCGGGCGCCGCGGGGTGACGAGCAGCCCAAGCGCCCGCGCGGGGCCGGCAGCAGAGCCCGTGTCGGCCGTGCTGGGAACCCTCGCGTTGTGGTGTGCTTTGTGCCCACGCGCGCTGCTGGTGTGCACACAGAGGCGGGCAGAGCCCGTCACTAGGTGTGAGCACGGCCCCGGCGCCGCGGGGCAGCCCTGCAGCACCCCGGCTCGCGCCTTCCCTCCGCGCTCCTCCTTCCCTCTGCCACGTCGCCGCCTCCCGCCGGTGGAAAACACGGCCTTTGGGTTAAGCAGAGTGTGGGCTTTGCCTTGAAACGACCGCTCGTGTAAGGCTGAGAGCTGGGCCTGTTCAGCCCCAAGAGGAGACGGCTGAGAGGGGACCTCATCACTGACTACAAATACCTGGAGGGAGGGAGTGAGGAGGATGGGGCGGCCGCTTTTCAGAGGTGAGACTGATAGAACTAGAGGAAACGGCCACAAATTGAAACACCAAAAGTTCCCCAGGAGCTTAAGGAAGGATTTCCTGACAGTGCATGTGACAGAGCCCTGGAACAGGCTGCCAGGAGAGGCCACGGAGTCTCCTCTGGACATCTCCTAAACCCCCCTGGATGCCACCCTGTACCCTGTGCTCTAGATGACCCTGAGTGTGCAGGGGGTTGGACTAGGTGATCTCCAAAGGTCCCTTCCAAACTTGATGGTTCTTATGATTCTATTCTATGAATTAACCAGTAATGCCCCTGAACTGCATGTCCTTGAACCCTCTCCTGGCAGGCAACTCTGCTGTGCCCAGGCTGGTGTCCCCTGTGCCTGGCACAGGCTCTTCAATTAAAAACCCAAACTTCAACATTTTAACCCATTCTCAGCTCCAGACTGCTGGGTGAGCCTTGGAGCAGGAGGGCTTCATCACGCCAGGCACGCAGGGCAGCTGGACACGCGTGGCTTGAGCTGCTTCATGAGCTCACTGATTCTCTGGGCCTGGAAAATGAAGTGTTCCTGGAGCTACATGTGTCTTGGAAGGCTGGCAATGGGGCCAGAGCACGTCCAGCTCTGAGTTCCTTGGGAAGTCAAGGTGCTTGAGTGACCTGGGTGGCTGTCACCCCTGGCCCTGGTGCCCGGCAGATCCGCTGCTCATGGTCGTTATCTGGCTGTGCCCGGGCCAGCTGCAGCCGCCAGCACCGCGAGGGTCCCCGTGCAGGCTGGTGTGTCCTGCCCGTGTCCAGCCTCGTGGCCCCACGTGAGGGATACTGGGCTCGGGGCAAGCGGGACACCAGAGCGCACTGCGTGCCATGGACGCGCTGGGGTGCTGCAGTGACGGAGCGCGGCGGGATACCGGTGTGCACCGCGCGCCGTGGACGCGCTGCAGTGACGGAGCGCGGCGGGACACCGGTGTGTGCCGTGGACGCGCTGCAGTGACGGGACACAGCAGGACACCGGTGTGCACTGCGTGCCGTGGACGCGCTGCAGTGACGGAGCGCGGCGGGACACCGGTGTGCACCGCGTGCCGTGCACATACTGCAGTGACGGAGTGTGGCGGGACACCGGTGTGCACCGCGCGCCATGGACGCGCTGCAGTGACGGAGTGCGGCGGGACACCGGTGCATATTGTGTGCTGTGCACGTACTGCAGTGACGGAGTGCGGTGGGACACCGGTGCATATTGTGTGCTGTGCACATACTGCAGTGACGGAGCGCGGCGGGACACCGGTATGCACTGCGTGCCGTGGACGCGCTGCAGTGACGGAGCGCAGCGGGACACCGGTGTGCACCGCACGCCATGGACGCGCTGCAGTGACGGAGTGCGGCGGGACACCGGTGTGTGCCGTGGACGCGCTGCAGTGACGGAGTGCGGCGGGACACCGGTGCATATTGTGTGCTGTGCACGTACTGCAGTGACGGAGTGCGGCGGGACACCGGTGTGCGCCGTGGACGCGCTGGCGCGCAGCAGAGACCGAGCGCGCGGCAGCCCCGGCTGGGACAGGTTGGGCTGGTTGTGTTAATGGATGTGAACATCTGAGCGCGGGAAGGGAGGAAGGAGCGCGGAGTCAGTCCTGCTTGGGACACTGGTGCCTCTCGTGTGCCCGCCCGCACCCCGTGCGCTCCCCTGAGCTCTGGGGGGCCGGGCCACATGATTTACTGGGCTACTGGAGCAAAACATTGACCCAAACTGCAGCTAATTGTGCAGTCATTAGATAAATGAGCCGGGAGTGTGTTAATTAATAATCACCCGCCCAGGAAGATGCAGCCGTAATGAGTGTGGGCCTTTTCTGTGACATAAGCGTGTGCAGGTATCTGCTCCTGCAGCCGCAGCGCCAGGGTGCGGATCCGTGTCCCAGCCGTGCCGGGAGGCTGCCGGAGCAGAGCCGGAGGCTGCGACGTGGGGAGTGTGGCCGGGGCGCCCGCAGCGCCGTGGGGCTGCCCGCTCTGCCCCGCGCCCGGGGAGGCTTTGGGGTGAAACCCGCTCATTCCAAACGTCCCGTGGCAGACGTCCCAGCCATCCTCGTTCCCGTGCTGGGTGGACGCGGGGGCGGCTCCGGCCCCACGCCCCCTTTCACACCGCCCTCCGGAGCCTCTGGTTCTGGGCACATTTGCCCCGGGTTTGGGTTGGGGGCCGCGTTGTCCCCGCTCGGCCGTGGCCGGCGCCGAGCGCGCCCGCAACAGCTGCCTTCACTGAGATCATCGCCTTCTAGCTCGCAGCTATTAATAGTGGTATTGCTGCTGCTTAACCATGCACAGAGCTGTCATCAGATGAGATGTAAAAATATTTTGCATCAAATTGAACAGTCTAAGAAATGCCATAAGCTACTGGAGAAAGCGCCTTTCCTCCAACACATGAGATACCACTCCGACGCCTCTTAAGCTTTTTATTTTCTTTCACTTAATTGTTGATTTCTGCTTGAAAAATCAGAGAGTTACTTGAGGTCAAAGCAGAAGCATTTTGTTTTTTAAATGAATAGATAATTCTATTCCCATTAATGAAATGTCTAAGTCTGCATGCTGAGATAATAATGCAAAGTAATCAAATCTCATGCTCCAAGGCATAAACTGATTGACTCGGGGGGTCAGGGATGATTTTTCCTGTTCTGCAGGAATTGAACATGGGCCTGGTTCAGGCAAGGGCTGCTCCGCTGGCTCCGGTGTGCACTGCCGGCGGGACCCTTGTGGGATTCCACACGATGTCCCTGGCTGCAGACGCTGCTGCACTCGGAGCTGGTGACGGGGCCGCGGGGTGGTTCCCGGCGCTGCTGGTGCAGAGGCTTTGATGGTGTCCAGGGAATGCCAGGAGTCCCCAGGGATTTCTGTAGCCCCTCAGGGTGCTGCTGGCCAAGGCGGGAATTACTCTCTGCGCCTTTCCTGGAGATGAAATACAGGAACCTCCTGCCTTGCAGGAACCTCCTCCTTTGCCAGAACCTCCTTTGCAATCACCTCCTGCTTGCAGGGACCTCCTCCTTTGCCAGAACCTCCTTTGCAATCACCTCCTGCTTGCAGGGACCTCCTCCTTTGCAATCACCTCCTGCTTGCAGGGACCTCCTCCTTTGCCAGAACCTCCTTTGCAATCACCTCCTGCTTGCAGGGACCTCCTCCTTTGCAATCACCTCCTGCTTGCAGGGACCTCCTCCTTTGCCAGAACCTCCTTTGCAATCACCTCCTGCTTGCAGGGACCTCCTCCTTTGCAATCACCTCCTGCTTGCAGGGACCTCCTCCTTTGCAGTCACCTCCTCCTTTGCAGTCACCTCCTCCTTTGCAAGACCCTCCTGCTCCGCGCTGGGGACTGCAGCGGTGCCTGGGATCCCCTTTAGCAGCGGAGGCGGCAGCAGCACCTTGGGAGCTGAGCGCAGCCCGGTGGGGTGGCAGCGCGGTGGAGCCCTGCAGAGATGGGGACATGGGGTGTCCCCATGCCTGTGGTGGCTGTGACACCCGCGCGCCATCAGTGCCACCCGCGGCCCCTGCATCTCCCTCTGCTCCTCCTGCCCCGGCCCCTCGCTAGTCAGGCAGCGCCTGTTGGGGCTCGTTGTGCGATTTTTCCCTAATGTAGTTCTGTGTTTTATAATTCAAGGATGTATAAAGATAGGTCTTCTTTTTTTTCTTTTTCCCCCTATCAAAAAGGCACAGATAAAAGCCTGTAATGGTGAAGAGAAAATATGTGTTCTTCTCCTCTGATAAGGGGTGACGGGAGGCAGGCACTGCAGCCCTATCAGCGCGGAGCCTTGCAGGGTCCTTGGAAATTAAACTCATTACGTAGAGATCGCACGGAGCAGATTGCGAGCCTTTCCGCTCCGATGGCACCGAGCTTGCCACGGAAGATTTAGACCAAGAGTCCAAATTAAGCCACAGAATAACCACTGTGTATCCTTGCCAGCACAGAGCCCGGATTTATGTCCAACATTTTTAAAACTATATATTAATTTATTAAATGACATATGAAAATAATTGCCTGAGTGCTATAGAAATAGAGTTGCGGTGTCTGTGTTGCAGTAAGTGGCTATAAAGGGGACATGACATGGGGCTGGGGCAGTGTGTGGGTGCAGTGGGAGCCAATGGGTCCCCTGACTCTATCGGAGGGACCTGGCTCATCCCCATTGCGTCCAGGCTCATATTTTTACAGTTTGAATATTGATTTTTTTCTATGTTCTTCTCCCCACAGTAAGAGATGCTAAAAACCTAGTCCCTATGGATCCCAATGGCTTGTCAGACCCCTACGTGAAGCTTAAACTAATCCCCGACCCCAAAAACGAAAGCAAACAGAAGACCAAAACTATCAAGTGCTCCCTGAACCCAGAGTGGAACGAGACATTTAAGTTGTAAGTACGACAGAAGCGTTTAAGCTGATTTCCCTGGCGCCCGAGAGCTAGGGCGGCGATGCTGGGTGCAGCGGCACCGAGCGGGTTCGCTGGGTCGCTGCCGCCCATGGGCGCTGCGGGCGCGAGCCCAGCCGGGGCGGCGCTGCCCGGGCGCTGGGGACGATGCCCAAGAGCAGAGCGGTCACCAAGGAGGGATTTGGGGCCGGGACGCGGGGCGGGATGCGGGGCCGGGATGCGGGAGGTGGCCCCGCAGCCCACGCGGCGCTCGCCGCCCCGTTGCAGCCAGCTGAAGGAGGCGGACAAGGACCGGCGGCTCTCGGTGGAGATCTGGGACTGGGACCTCACCAGCAGGAACGACTTCATGGGCTCGCTCTCCTTCGGCATCTCCGAGCTGCAGAAGGCCGGCGTGGACGGCTGGTAGGAGGCGCTGGGGCCGGGCAGAGCGCACTGCTTCACCATGTTCCTCAGTTGTCCCCCCGGGCAGGACTCAGGTCCTTCCCTTCCCGCTGCTTTTCCTTTCCCTGCTCACATCCCTCTTGCCTTCCCACGCTTCTCATGCAAAGTGAGGCCATTTAGAGCAAGCTTGACATGTCCTTCAGCCACCCCAGACCACAGGGTACCAGTTTGCCTTGGACAAGGCAAGGAGCACCCCGGGTGCTATGGGGAGCTGCAGCGCCGAGCAAGCAGTTGGCTGTCCCGTGCCCCAGAACAGACTCTCCACCACGGCCTTGCTTTGTCCAGGGGCTGGGATGTGGGAAGGGTCTGGGCCCTGCCAGGAGGGAACGTGCAAAAATGGCGTTTTTTATCTGTGGGGTTTGGGTCAGGAAGAGGAGGGTCGTCTGGAGATGGGCTCAGCGTGGGGAGATCTGGATGCAGAGCTGCACTGCACTGCATTGGATCAATGTCAGTCTGCGACTCCGGCTGTGCTGGTGCGACGTCCTCGCTGTGTCCCCAGGTTTAAGCTGCTGAGCCAGGAGGAAGGGGAGTATTTCAACGTGCCGGTGCCCCCGGAGGGAGAAGAAGGAAATGAGGAGCTGAGGCAGAAATTTGAGGTGAATTGACTTTTCTTGGGAATTTTCCTCGGTGTTTCTCCTTGCTGCCAGCCTAGGGCAGGCTCTGCTCTGGCCCGAGGGCTTTGCTGTCCGGTCCTGTCCCTGTCTGTGTATGGGGACGTGGGCAGGGCTGTCCCCGCGCTCCTCCCGCGTCCCGGGGTGGCTGCTGTCACCGCGCACAGCTCTGCCCACGCCAGCGAGCGGCACGTCGGGAGGAGCAGGGGGGCTGTGCAGAGCCAGCGGCTGCGGCTCGCATGGGAAGGGGCTGCCGAGGCACCCGGACTCCTGTCCCCTGGGCTTTGGTGACATTTGGGCTCGATTCTGCCTTCAAGGAGGCTTCAAGGAGAAAGCCCTATTTCCAACTCGATAAGCCATGGAAGCTTTTGCCAAAATGATTGATCCCAGCATTACTGGATTAATAGCTCCTTCCCACTCCTCAGCGCAGTCAAAATCTTCCCAGGGCCTTGAGAACAGGCATGTTACATCTGGAGACACATATGAAATGAGCCGTATAGGAAATAAAGCATTTGGCCTTACAAAAGTCAGCCTGACATCCGTAACTGCAGTGTGTGACCAGAGAGATTTTTCTAAATGACCTTTTTAAGAAAAGAAAAGAAAAGAAAAGAAAAGAAAAGAAAAGAAAAGAAAAGAAAAGAAAAGAAAAGAAAAGAAAAGAAAAGAAAAGAAAAGAAAATCTCACTTATATGCAACTTCCCTGGATCTGCAAGAATAAGACAGCTCTAATATGCAGAGGCCCTGGCCATGCAGCATATGTAGCACTGCCAGTTTTGCAAGGAATTAGCTGCCTGACCTGCTGTCCTTGCGTTTCTTGATGCTCAGTGGTGCCAGTCACGTGCGTGCCGGAGGTCTCGGGCAGGAGGGCTGCACGTCGCGGAGCACGTTGCCCCTGAGCGACCCGCGCTCCCGTGGGACCCACAGCCCCTGCTGCCAGTTCTGCGATGCCTTTATCAGCTGGGACAGCTTGATAGATGCGAACATCCGCTGCTATTGCATAAATTCAGATGTAGCAAATTAAGTGTGACAAATGAGGTTGGATAACGAAGGTCAAATGCTTTTTAAATTTCTTTTGTGAGCAATATTTGGCACGCTTCAGTCGTAAAACTTAAGAAGGTCTCAGGATTGTGTGAGTGTTAGGAGCACATTAGAAATAGGTTAAAGGACTTGTGTGCTCGCTTAGGGACAGGCACCAGGGACATGTGGTAGCAAAACCAGGACACCTCTGGGGTGGTCTCCACATGCCCTAGCTCCTCTTCTAGCTGCTGGGACCTTTCCCCCTTCTGCCCTAGCTTGCACTTGGCCTGATTTTCTCAGCAAAGTCACGTTGTGTTTAATCCCCCTCTCCTCTCCTGGGGAAGTGCAGGGATGCTGCAGAGTAAGGTCAAATGCAGGACTGAATATGCATCAGCTGAAGGCAGCAAGAGAGACCTGGAGCCGCCTACGCCCTCCAGTACTCGGACTCTGCCTGTGCTGCTGGGAGATTTGCAAGCTTTACACCACAATTTGCAAGTTTGCTGGATGAAAACCCTTTGTCTCCTTGGCCTCTTTGCATTGTCCTTTGCTGTGTTGATCTGGAGGGAAGGCCCTGTGCAGCGTTTCCTTCCAGTTCCCTCGTCCGAGCCCAGTGCTGCCCTGTTGGGGCTGCGAATGTGCCGGGGACCCGCGGAGGAGGCTTCTGGGGTGCAGCGTAATGGCACCACAGTGACTGCCCTGGGAATGTGTTAGAGCTTGTTTTCACAGCGGCCGATTTGCCATCAAATTTCCCCTGACAAGATGGGTTTGTTAGCTGTGGCCGTGTCGGGAGGTTGTCCGGGGGTCCGGGCGCATGGTGTGCCGGGATGTGCGCGTGTCCTTGGAGCACAGCTTGGAGCAGGGGCGGGATCGCGGCATTCCTTCAGGAATGGCCCAGGACAGAGCCTCCCAGCCTGGGCGCTGGGATGGCTGCGAGGTTCCCCTTGGGTGTAATTTTGGAATCCACGGCTGTTACAAGGCCTGCGTGGGCAGCGTTTCCCCTGACGAGCCGGACAGAGCGCTGCGCGATGGCAGAGGCCAGCAGGGACTTGCAGGGTTTCCTCCAAGTCGATCCAAAGTGAAGTGCCTGCTGAGGAATCCCCTTGCTTTCCAAAATAAACCATGACACGACGCTCTATTCCTTTTAAGCGCAGGACCTTCCTCTCCGGCGGCCGCGGCTGGTGACTGTGACGGGTGGTGCCTGTGGAGCGATCCCAGCCGCGTCCCGGCCGCCCTCTCCGAGCTGCACGAGCAGCTCCGGTGTTTGCAGATCCTTGAGAGCTGCACGGCGCCCGTGCAGGCACTTTCCTGCTGCCTGGAGGCGCTCAGGTGACCTTGAGCGGAGCTCGACGGCGAGGAGAGCGTCGCCAGAAGCAATTAGCAGCAGCAGAGGCCGGGCCGCCGCGGCTCCTATCTGCAGGCGCGGCGAGCAGCTCCAAATGGAACTGCTGCAATCGGGTTAATGGAATTTCATGCTAGACTGAGCCCAATGCAAGCGCGGCACTGTGGCATATTTCTAGAAATTAAAGCTGAATAAATTGTGCGATAGCTTTTGCACGCGGCGGCTCGGCGAGGAGAGGGCCCGGCCGATGGAAGAGGCTGTTCAGTGATGGATTTCTGTGCTCAGAATGGGGATTTGGGGCTCCGGGGCAGCCGTGACGGAGCAGCCTGCGCGGGGACGCAGAGCCGAGCTGCCTCGTCCTCCGCTCTGCCCCCAGAGCGGCTCTGCATCACCCTGCACCCGCCTGGGCTGGCCCAGGAGCCCGACTCCCTCCGCTGCTGGATAGGAACAGAGTTGAAGCCTCTTCAGAAATCCCTCATTTCACCTTAATATGCCCACATTTGCAGTCACGGATCCTGTTCTCATAGGGCGGGGACTGGTGCTGTCACCCACCCGGGAAGTCCCTGTCCCCAGTGTCACCCACCGTGTGGTCCCAGTCGCACCTATGGGACAGGTCTCCAGGCGCGGTGCTGAGGAGAAGGCTGTGCTGTGGGGCTCTTTGCACAGCAGCCCTTCTCTGCACCGTGCTCTGCAGCTCTCCTCTCTCCCCTTCTCCCGTCTCCGTGTTCACAGAGAGCCAAGATCGGTCCTGGCTCCAAGGCGGCTGAGGAGAAGATGATGAATGCGATTTCCAAATTCGACAACAACGGAAGCAGAGACCGGATGAAACTTTCGGATTTCAACTTCCTGATGGTGCTGGGAAAAGGCAGCTTTGGAAAGGTATGGTAGGACTTCTTTATTTGCACAGCCGTGGTGTGAAACACAGGTGTCTGCAGCGGTGTTGGGGTGATGGTGCTAGAGCGGACACCGGGACCCTGCAGATCGGGGTCTGATTGGACATCTTGGAAACCAGGCGTTCCCTTTCAGGGGCAGTGTCTGCCTTTAAAGCCTGGCTCTTTATTCAGCCACGTTTCTAATAATTACCAGTTTACGTGAACATTTTAATTAACTTTCCAGGCCAGTTGTGAGCAGCAGAAGAATTTTGTTCCTCCGGTAATTGTGTGGCTTGGAGCCTTCATTGTCCTTGGGGTTTTGCCAACTTTGTCCTGGTTTTCATTAGAATCCCAGCCGAGCAGCACCTTTCCCAATGGCTGCAGCACCTGGAGCCGGAGGCTGCCGGGCATCTCCCCCTCTTGGCATCTGGGAACCGAGTTCCTTTTTCTCCTCCTCTTTCTTCCAATCTGAAAAATGTTCCCAGGCCCATTCATGGACTCATCACTTGGCCCCTGTGCCCACTCCAGCCTCCGGAGCCCGGTTCTCCTGCGCTCGCTCCTCCCGCGCGCATTCGTTCTTCCGCACCCTGTTCTGCTCTGCCGGCTCCTCCCGCGCTCGCTCCTTCCTCCCATGCCCAATTCTCCCCCGCTTGCTCGTTCCTCCAGTGCCCAATTCTGCTGCACTCACTCATCCTCCCATGCTGGATCCTCCCGCGCTCACCAGGGAGCAGCTGCAGCCTCCCGCTCCCACGCGCCAGGGTGCAGGCTGCTGCCGTGATTCCAAGGTGCCGGAGTGTCCCGGAGCTGTGCCCGGCGCTGGGACAGAGCCCACGTGCCGGGCGGCTCCGTGCCCCGGGCTGCATGCAGCAGCACGTGCCGTGCTTCCGCACGGGAAGGGCGCTGTTGCTAGCAGGAGAGCGCAGCGCTGGGCTTGGCCCAGCCCGGGTTTGCTTCGCTGCAATATAAAGAGGGAAGAGTTAATTTATGCGGCTCGCGCGCGATTTTTTTGGCTAGTCCAGCTGCCGCGCTGCTGCAGCCCGTCTTCCTTGGGCCTTTGCGGTGTTTTTGGAGCAGGATGCATTCTTTTGCCTCGGTGGCTGTGCGGCGCAGGGCAAGGGACGTGCCCATGGCCCTTGCCTGCCCTGGGCTGCGAGGGGCCGGGGCAGCGGGCGGCGATGCTGGCGCGGCCGCGGTCCCTGCGCGCCCCAGCCAGCCCTGCCCGCTCGCATGTGGCACCTGCTGGTGCCGCTCGTGCCGGCCCGGACGCTCCCCGCGCCGCCCTCGTCTCCAAGCGGGATCTCGTGGTGCCTCCGGGGCGCTCTCCTCGCCTGCGCATCCCTGCGCGCTCCGTTTCCCATAACAACGCACTCCCCCACGGAGCCTCTAAGCAAAATATCTTGGAAAGCACCAAAGCGCCCGTGGGTCCGGCCCGCAGCGCTCTGCCCCTGCCCCGCTGCACAGCAGCCCCTTCCCTGCAGTGAAGGACTTTCCCTTAAGAAGGGCAGCGAGGTGGGCAGCGAGGCGCTGGGACACGTGGATGCGGTCGCACGTGAGCCCCTTGCTGCAGGGTGGCAGGCCCGTGCTTGCTGCTCTCCCAGCCGCTGGCACAAACCAGGCCCAGCTCTTTTTATCACTTAAAAACCAGGCCCAGTGGCACTGATTTTATTTCCCTTTGCATTTCCGAAGGCGATGCCGGGACCTGCTAGCCTTTTCTCTACAAATCCGCTGTAGTTTGAAGCTCCTTTCAGCTCCATCCTATTGATGTTGATTCCCTGTAATTTATTTTCAAAACCTCCTAACTGCTCTTGCTGACGTGACCAGAGGATTTCAACGCTCTTTCAAACGCAAAGCAGTTTATTTCCCCCGCGCGCTGGAGCGGAGCGCGGGGCGGGCGGGAGCAGAGCTCCGTGCGCGGTCGCGGGGCGGGAGCGGGCTGTGCTGGGAGGCCTGGGGAACCCGCGCTGAGGCTGACGTGGTTAATGGGAGCGAGCTGCACCGCAGGAGCAGCGCATCCCGTCGCGTGGAGCAAATCCATCTGCAGAGAGGCAGAAGCAGGTTGAAGCGCGGGACTGGCGTTTCCCTGCGCCCCGGGAAGGGCTGGCCTGGGGACTGGCCGGGCTGCCGTTGCTCCACGCTGGGCAGGGCGAGCAGAGCAAATCCTGCTGGTTTTGGCCCACTTTTGGCCATGCACTAACTGTCCTCTGCTTCGAGTAGTCATTGCCTCATGCTTTGATGCACACGTGTCCGAGTTGTTCCTTCCTTTCCCTGCCCCATCGCCCCGTGCCCAGGCTGCTTGCTCAGAGGGGAACCTTGCTCTGTGAGCAAGGTGAGCAGGATGCGCTGGGCCAGGTGAGCCAGGGAATAGGCCCGAGGTGCTCTGGAAGAGCTCTCTGCATTGCCTGGCCCTGAGCTCAGGTTCCCAGGTTGCAACAAGAGGCACTGATAAAAACACAAGTGCTTTGCTTTGCGCGCGGAGCCGCAGGCCCTGCATGCCCTGTTCTCCCTGGCAGGTGATGCTCGCGGAGCGCAAGGGCACGGACGAGCTCTACGCCGTGAAGATCCTGAAGAAGGACGTGGTCATCCAGGACGACGACGTGGAGTGCACGATGGTGGAGAAGCGAGTCCTGGCCCTCTCGGGGAAGCCGCCCTTCCTGACGCAGCTGCACTCCTGCTTCCAGACCATGGTGAGTGCCGCGGCTGGAGCTGCGTCCGCGGAGCCCGAGCACTGGGCAAACCGCAGTGTCTTGATCTCCGAGGGGGAGGCTGAGGGCAGGAATGACCCCTAGAGACCCGCAGGGGATCGAGGAGCAGTGCCTTCCTGGACTGCATGGAGGCATCCCTACAGAAACCCATCCCAATCGCGTATTTCCAGCTCCTCTAACTCACATCTGTTTGCTTTCAGACACACGTTCCTGTGTTTGCAAAAGCGGCCGTGTATTCTTCCCCTTGGCACCCTCATAAATTGCACAATTTGCTTGCAAAAGTGCGCCCGTAAACAGAACGTTTGTGTGTGTCGATTAAAGCGGAGGCTGCGGCGCAGTCGTTGCACCCCGGAGACTTTCCCATTGGGCAGCGCTTAATTGCGTTACGGAGCCTTTGGGCAGCCCGGCCTGTGATTTCGGTTATCTCGCAGCAGCCAAGTGCCCAGCTTTTTCTCTGGATTCATTCTTGTGATGGCAAATCCAAGCAGACGGTGAAACCTGACACAAACCAGGGGAAATGCCGTTTGCAGAGGGCCCGCTGTTGAGGGCAGCAGCACAGAACTAGGGCTGGGAGGGCGGCGGGGGGGCGCGAAGCAGCGTCTGCCCGAGCACCGCGGCAATGAAAGCGTCCAGGTCCTTGTCAGCAGGCGGGAAGGTAATCACTGCGGTCCCTGCGCGGGGTGACAATGCCGTCCGGGAGGATTACATTTTAATATTATCCCAGCAATTTCATTTCCGGAGCGCACTGGGCATGTTGGAAGCGCGCGCAGCAGCTTGGCAGCGCGGCAAGCAGAGGGTGGCAGGAGCAGAGATTCCCGCAGCATCTCTGGGGCATCGGGGTGAGTCAGTGCAGGCTCATCCTGGCAGCGCTATAGGAGCTTCCTATAGTCACTGTATAGATAAAGCAATCAAAATGTACCCAGGGTGTGTTATTGAGCATTGGCACAAAGCGCCCTGCTCTCTGGGAGCGCGTCCGGCTTCCCACCCGGCCTCCTGCTTCAGGCAACCAGCACAAGTGGAAATGCTCAGTTCTGTGCATGGAGACGGGGCAAAGAGAGCGGTGTGAGTGCGGTTCTGGGGAGCCGGGGCCTGGGAATGTCCCCCGACAGCTCTGGGGCCCGGTGAACGGACGCTGCGAGCGTGGGGGGACCTTGGTTGTGCTCCTCGCATGGGAGATGGGCCAAAGGAACAGTCCACGAGGAGGAGGCAGCACTGGAGGAAGGCCAGCAGGCCTGCCTGGGAAAGGGCTCGGGCTGTTGGTGCTGGGGGCCGCGTTGAGGCCCCTGGTGCTTGTCGAGCCGAGTGGCACAGCCGGAGCTCGCAGTGCCGGGCGCCTCCCCGCTCGGCACCCAGCTGCCTCCGGCACGAGCCGCCCTTCCTGCCGCGCTTCCTCCCGAGCGATATATTTAGGGGGCAGCTGCAGCGAGCGCCGGGCTGCGTTGCAGTCGCTGCTGCTGAAGGTGACTCCTGCTCGCAGTGCCGGAGCCTCCTCGCTCCTCGGCGGCCCCTGCTCGGCTGGGGACCCGGCAACACGTGGCCCTGGCTAGGGAGGGATGTGGAACATTGAGAATTGTCCCGCAGTGCTGTGGGTGGAAAGCGCTCCCGCTGCTCGGGGCTTGTCCTCCCCCTTGTGACCCAGCTGGCAGGGTAGGACCATGCAGGTGGCAGAACGTGGCCCATCACTGCATCCCTCCTTCCGACACATCCTTGCACTCGCTGGGGCGGCTGTGCTCGCGTCCCGTGTGCGAGCACGCACTGCAATTGATGGGAAGCCACTGCTGACCCACTGGGCGCGAGCAATTAGCTAACGAGCTGTGCGGTCCCGCCTGCCGTGCTCAGCGGAGCCGCTGCGTCCCGGCCCCGCGCCCGCTGCCGCTCGCCCCGGCGCCCGCTGTCACCGCGTGCGTGCTGCTCCCCGCGGAGCGGCCACGCCAAGCCGGGGACGTGGAGCCGGCGGCGAGCGGTGGCAGATTCGTTAATAAATCCCTTTAAATAAACCCGCGGAGCTGTAGGCCGCGCTGGCCTCGCCGCCGGCCTCCGCGCTGCCGCTCACGGCTGGCTTCTCCCGCAGGATCGCTTGTACTTCGTGATGGAGTACGTGAACGGCGGCGACCTCATGTACCAGATCCAGCAGGTCGGGCGCTTCAAGGAGCCGCACGCCGTGTAAGTGCCGTGTTCCCAAGAGGGGAGTGCTGTGAGCTGGGGCGCTGGGACCCGGGCGCTGCGAGTTGGGATGCGCTGCGAGCTGGGATGCGCTGCGAACGGGAGCACGTGTTGCACCCACAGCACCCTGCAAGGCCCCGTGCTGCCAAGGCCATCCCATCCTGGTCATGGTGCCCCCTGGCTCCTGCTCGGCATGATCCGGTGGAGGGGACATGCTCGTGAGAGCCACCCCGTGCCCATTGGGACCAGGAGCAGGGTGCAGAGCCCGGCTGGGTCAGCCCCCGCACACGGGCAAACCCAGAGCTTGCCAAACCCGGAGCACCCTTTAAGGAGGAGGGTGGCAGCGCGCGCTCCCGGGTAGCTCGCGATGACAGAGCTCGTCAAGGCAGCGCACGGGAATGAACAGCCCGTGTCTCGTAACGAGGGGCCGCCTAATGAGAGGTGACAGCCCTGCCAGCCCCCAGCAGCCCGGCCCTGGTCCTCCCCGCGCTGCACACCGTGAGTTATGTCACGCTCGTGTGATACCCGCCTGGTATTTTGTGCCGCGCTGTCCATATCCTTTGGTCACGTAAGCCCAACGCATCTCATTTGGTGCAATTGGATCTGAAGGGTTTTCATTCTGATTCATCTGCCTTAATGACCACTTTTCTTTTTAAATCTCCGCTTCCAGGTTCTATGCAGCAGAAATTGCCATTGGCCTCTTCTTCCTGCAAAGCAAAGGCATCATTTACCGGTAGGTGGGCTCGCCGCCCTGCCTCCACGGGCGCCTGCGGTTCGGAGAGGGGTTCGTCTCTGCCCCGGTGTTTTGGGGCAGGGAGCTCACGTGCAGCAGCCGGGATGTGTCCCTGCTCCTGAGCGTGCGCTCCTTGCCGTGCCGGTGGCCGTGGGCAGCACGCAGCACACTGAGTTGTGCGTTCTGCTGCAGGGCGCTCTTTCCTTGCTGCAGGCTGCTCTTTCCTTGCTGCTACCCTTAGTGCTAGTGCTTAGGAATGGGTTATTCCAAGATTTGCAGGGCACGCCTGGTGCTTGTAGTTCAGACACTTGCACTTCTTCCTGCATTCACGACAGGACTTGGAGCATCCTGGGTCTGACTGCTGGTGAGCCGGGCATCGCGCTCGATGCCGCTGGCGAGCTGGGCACTGTGCTTGAGGCTGCTGGCGAGCTCAGCACCACGCTCGAAGCCGCTGGTTAAAGCACTGGAGCTCGGGCTCCTTCCTGCTCGCGAGCATCCCCAAAGCCCAAGGTAGAGCAGAACATCCCAATCAGTGTCAGATACCATTAGCTGCCTTGCAAAAGGAAACGCCGACTGTGCCAGTGAAGTTCTGAGCTGCTGAAAACAGTTCTGAAGATGAAAGAAGTGGAGCAAACCTGACGTGAGGGATGTTTTTTGCCATCAGCTGCTGCAGGGAAAGATTCTGGGTCTGCCAGTCCCAAGTGCCCCTTCCTTCCTCCAAATCCGAATGCAGATTTGTGTTCATCTGTCTTTGGCCCATCAGGGTTCTAAGCACTGACACTATAATTAGCAAAAATTATCTTAAAAAACAGCAAGAAGTTGTAAATTATGCTGTTCCTTTTATTGTACTCTACTGAACAAAGTTAGAGTATGCCAAGCAGAAGAATTATTTAAAGCATAATTTTGCATGTCAAACATTCTTGGCTCCAGCAATGCTTAACTATATGGTGCGTGTGAAGCACTCCAACGTTGGAAACAGTCTGCTGGCATTTTAATGCCGTCCCTCCTGCTCTGTCCACGCGTCTCTGCAGATGGGGCCAGGCATTGAAAAACCATCAATTTGTGTTTTCTTGGGGAGGAAGTAACAGAGAGGGATAGGGAGCTTTATGGAGCAGCTACTTGGTTCTTAGCTGCCGGAGAGCTCAAAACACACCACAGTTTTCATAAATGTAAAAAGCAATATATTAAATCCAGCTCCCTGCTCTGTTTTTGGTCACACACTTAGAAGCAATTCGTCCAGCATATGGTGTCCGAGGGGGTTAAAAGCAAAGTAGTTTGTCCTGGCAACCCCCCCGGCTTGTTTTTACTCATTTTCCTTCATCCTGCAAGGCGCCTGTGCAACACTCACCACCAGGCACCCAGCTCAGGGAACTTGCCCCTTTCCTTCCCGGGTTCCCTGTGGCCGTTGGAGAAATGTTTTCCTCTCCCTTGGCAGAGACCTGAAGCTGGACAACGTGATGCTGGACAGCGAAGGGCACATAAAGATCGCCGACTTCGGCATGTGCAAGGAGAACATCTGGGACGGGGTGACCACCAAGACCTTCTGCGGCACCCCCGACTACATTGCGCCCGAGGTAGGAGAGCCCAGGGCTGCTCCAAGCCCACGTGCTTCCAGGGCTTTTCAGGAGACGGATTTCTGGCAGGGGAAGCTGCTCCATAAAACATGCTCTGCGCTGTGCAAGGCTTGAGTGGGAGCTGGCAGAGCGCGTGGTCCATGCACCATGCGCATGGTCCATGCACCGTGCCCGGGGTCCATGCACCGTGCCGTGTCCATGCACCGTGCGCGTGGTCTGTGCACCATGCGCATGGTCCATGCACTGTGCCCGTGTCCCGGGCTCCCTGCGGATCCCCCTATGCTGCTGCCCCTTCCCAGGAAGCTCCGGAGCACTGGGAGCCCCGGGGCAGGAGCAAGAGGAGGGTCTGGTGCAAGGGAGCCTCCTGGGCACCTTCCTGCTGCGGCACGTGCTCCCCGGCCCTGACTCATCCGCGTTCTGCCGGAGGAATCATTTTCTGAAAGGAAACATGTTTTCCTTGGAAGATGGCTAATTTTAGTCAAAGAGAATGTCATTTGTTGGGCTGGGGGGACCAAGGAGAAACATTCTGCTCACATTCCCTGGGAACAGAGTCGGAATAGCTCTTTAATATCACACCCCTAATAGCGGCCACCGATCCGCTCGGGCCGGCGCGTGGTCGGCCGCCTGTGCCGGCGGGATGTGCCGACCGGGAGGGCTGGAACCTCGCTCCTTGCTCCTGCCGGCCCTTCCCAAGGAGACCGGCGGGCACGGGGCTTCCCGAAGCGCTTCCCGAAGGAGGGAGGAGCGGGTTTAGGAGCTCCGGGACGCGCTGCTCCATGCGCCATCCGTCTCCCTGCAGCCGCTGCGGTGGCAGCGCACGCAAAAAGTGTCATATTGGTGCATTTTAATGTGGGATTTATGACAGGCAGGTAGGCAATTGTTCCCAGATGCCTGTTCCCTTAAAATAAAAATATCCCTCTAAAATCTTCTTGCTCTTCTGAATTTTCGGTGATGAGATGAATTTTTCAATATTTATCCATTTAAATATTTTAGAGAAAGGGTTTCTCTTTGCAGGGATGTGGTTAGATGCCCATGTATGCTAAACTATGTTGTGTTTTGCTGCAGCCAGAGAGAATTTTAATTACTAGTTAAAATGACTATTACAGACCCGCGTTCCACCAAGATTAATACTGGTGTCCTGTGGTAGTAGCTGTGTTGCAGGTGTGATTAATCCTCCTTCAGAGCAGGACAAATGACCAGTTCTCTTGGTATTTGCCTGAGCATTATCATTTAAACACTTATTTTCTTCTACTTGCCCTATTTTTTTTTTCTCCAGAAGAGAAGGAGGAAATGGGAAATTAGGATGCAAATCACTACCGTATCCAGCAATAATATTAAAGCCTGCTACCAGTAGGCTTCCAGGGAGTAAATAACACGTCCCTTATTTATAAATGGGGTATAAAATTCTTGCCTGGCCTCGCATTTGGTGGCAAAGCCAGCGTCAGATCCTGGTCTTCATTTTCTAGCTGTGGTCCGGTGCTTTTGCAGCAGACCCCCTTTCCTCATGTTGGGAAGCAGCACCGCTCTTCAAGCCAACATATCCGCAGGCCAAAGCTGTCCTGGGATTTGCTTGACCCATTTTCAGGGCATTTCTGTTCCCGTGTGGAGTCCCACACAGGCCAGGGTGGTGGGTACCATGTGCCCCCCGGGCCCGCGGTCCTTGGGGAGGGGACACGGTGACTGCTCGGCGCACCCCCCCCAATTAGCATGTGATTTGCATTGGTGCTCCAATCTGTGAGTCTCTGCTGAGCAGGAAGCCGTAATTAGGATGAATAAATTGTGTAATTGTTTTGCGCTAAGTGGCAGATGGCAGCGCCCGCGGGCTGACGAGCGCGCCGCAGAGTCGCCCATCGGCAGCGGGACGCGCCGGGCAGCGGAGCAGCGTCCCGGCACCCCGGCACCCGCGCCCGGCGGGACCCTGTCCGTGCACCCCCCGGGCCGCCCCGCGCAGCTTGTTTGTGCTGCAGGAAGCCGCTCCGGATCGCTGGCCGCGGAGCCTCCGTGGTGAGCGGGTGCAGGCGGTGCTGTCGGGCCGCGTTAGGCTGACGAACGGCGGGCTCGGCAGCGCCCAGCGCAGCGCCAGCCCTGCCCGCCGCTCCAAACCAGGGCTGCGCCGGGCAAAAGGCGAAGCTTGGTCTGCGCTGGAACAAATCCGCCCAAATTCACACCAAGCAGTCCCGTTTTTGTCTAGCATTCAGCATCTGAGGGTTGGTTATGTTTTAGCTGCTGAGCCCTTTGCCAGGGAAATGTTTTGTTTGTATCTGTGATTTCGCACCATTTTGGAGGGTCGAGCCTCAGCGAATAACCTTGTCCTTTGTGCCGGGCTGCAGCTCGGGCTGGCTTTGCGCGGTGCCGAGGGGTCGGACCGGGAGCGCGACGCCGCTCTTTGTTGTTTGCAGATAATCGCTTACCAGCCCTACGGGAAGTCTGTGGACTGGTGGGCGTTCGGCGTGCTGCTCTACGAAATGCTGGCTGGCCAGGTAACCGGGGGTGGCTGATCCCTCGGGGATGGAGTTCAGCTGGCACCGGAACCAGCAGGGTTGGGAATGTGGGCCCTGCAGCACCAAGGCCGGGATGGGGCTGGTTTTCCAACCCTGGGAACGTGGACATGTGAGATCCAGGACATGCCCCGCAAGCTCTTCTCTCTGTGCTGCAGGCGCCCTTCGAGGGTGAGGACGAGGACGAGCTCTTCCAGTCCATCATGGAGCACAACGTGGCCTACCCCAAGTCCATGTCCAAGGAGGCAGTGGCCATCTGCAAAGGGGTAAGGGCTGGTGTCGCCGCTGGGCGCGGGAGCCCCGCGCGGGCTGCGATGCTGGTGCTGGCGGGGGGCACCGAGCTGCCCGCGCGGCCGGAGCAGGGGATGCTCCCGCGTCCGTGCTCACTGCTCCCCCGCAGCCAGAGCCCGCGCTGTTCCCTGCGTGCAGGCTGGAAACAGTGGAGTAGCGGCTCGGTCCTCCCTGTGCCCGCTTTGTTTGGGAGGTGATGGACGGTGCCGCCCGGAGCCCAGTCTGTGCCGATGGTTACGAACCGCTTCCCAGGGAGCCAGTGCATGGGTTTGATCTAGCACTGCCAGAGTTATGTGGTTGTGTAGGAACCTGTTAAATGTTTGCTTTTAATAATTAATATTTAAAATACCTGCACGTTCCGTGTCTCCGAATAGTGCCTCTGCCTGCAAGGGACATGGCATGATGCTTGCACCGTGTGTCTCCGCTCCCGCCGGGGTCCGGAGCGGGCGTCACACAGGGAGCGTCTGCCTGTCCGGAGGGGAAGCGCTGCCGGAAGCTCCGCGCTCCAAGTGGGTCAGCGGGAGGGGACACTTTCCAGGTCACTTGGCAGCCCGTTCAGTAAAACGTGCTAAAATCCCCATGGTAGTTTAGAAAGCGCCCTGGTAGTTGGAGGGGAGCTGCCACAAGCTGCCTCCTGTCTGCAGGGGCCCCATGTGCCGCGGGAAGCGGCTCTGTGATGCTAAGCGTGGCCTGGAGAGTGAGCAGGGCTGGGGCAATGGGGCCTCGGGCTTCCTTCTGGGTCATAGCAGCCACAATCGGGATGTTGGGAATGGACCAGGAGAGAGCCTGGTTGAAGAGGTGGCCGCTGCTTTTCCCAGCACCGGGCTGCATGGGCAGGCAGGGAAGCGCACACACTGTGCTCGCTTCCTGGGAAATGCCTTTACAGCAAAGCGGGGCTTCCACACGGAGCATCCCGCTTCCGGGAAGGACTGGCGCTAAAGCTCAGCCCTGCGCAAGCTGCGCGGCTCTTTGGCGGAGGGCGAGCTCCCATGGTGGAGCTCGCCGCGTGCGCACGGTGTCTGCACCGCGGGGCTGCAGGGCGCGGGGCGCTGCGCCAGCCCCGTCCCGTGGCACCCCCGTGGTGG